ACGACAACTTCAACGACCGACGTTTTGACGTTAAGAATCGAAAAGAAGAGATGTGTTATTCTAGGTCAGTTATTATATTATGGGTGGGAAAAAACTTTTTATTTTTTTTGTTGGAACCAAACTGTCAACGGATGCTATGGGTGTGAGGTAATGGCGACCCTTGTAGGCGAAATACCTATAATCATTGGAAATTGCCCGGACCGGGCACGTGGACGTGTTGGGGGCGGGGATCCATTGGGGGCCTCCGGGTAATTATACACTACCTACTACTATGGGGAGTTTTCAACGTATAACGAATATTATTATAAAACATGGTACATTACTAATTTGATACTACTGGTACTAAAATTTATTTAAGGCAAAAATAAAAAAAAACTTGTTTATTTGTGCTCCTTCATGTTATTGCGAACCTCAACGCATGTAATCTTTAATGTAAAAGCATGTCATAACAAGACGCGTTCACATCTCGAATTTTTAATTAACGCAGAAAATGTGTGTAAATTTAAAACGTTTGCCGAGCGCGTAATAAACCAAAGGAGAAGAGGCACAAATTATTCCCGCTTTTTACATCGGGCATTAACAAAAGTCCCTTCTGGTCGTCTACCAAAAAAGAGAAACGTACTGCGCACAACTTTTTCGATGATGGCAAAACATAAAGAGGGCGATCTTTCAGCTTCGGATGTTTCAATTTTCCGGGCGGAGTGCAAAAACTGGTCCACCGCTACACTACCACCGAGAAGAGTCTTCTTTTACCACCGCCGCCGCCTTCTTCTTCGGCATACTCTTCTTCTTATTCTTTAAGAACGAAGCCCTGTAGTAGAATAAGAAGGGTATTCGTCGAGAACCCGAACTGACTTAATTAATGAATAAAGAAGCGGCGATTCTTCTTCTTCTCTTCGCCCATTTCCCCGGTGGCGGCGGGGCAAAAATGGTCAATTAAAGTGGCGGATTCCGGTCTCGGGACACGTTTTAATGGTACCGGGCAGAGGGTACCCGGCGCGTCGACAACAATGCGACAGAGCGACGGTAGAGCGCGCTGATGAATAATGCAGTCGCGTCTCAATCTTCGTTCAACTTCTCTCTCTCTCTCTTTCTACGGCGGCCGGTAAATAACGGCCGCGGTGTGCCGGGTAATTAAAAGGTGGCAATTAATGACGACAAGAACCGATTGGAACTCGGCCCGGCGTCTCATACTTTAGTTGTTTAACGCCGCCGACTACTTCGAGACCCCGTTCCAAGAACCGTACCGAAGAAGAAGGCGACACCGACCGCACCTTCTTCCACTACTACCACTACTATTTTCTACTACTACTTTTACTACCATCATCATCATCACCACCAATCGTTCAATCATCACTTTTTTACAGTTTTTGTTTTAATCTTAAAACTATTTGCGTTAACTTATTAAAATTAGTTTCCTTTCGTCGAATTATTATTATTTATTTGAAATTCATGTTGATTTTCCCTTCAAATCAATTATAGCGATAAAAATGTGATATAATCAGCAAATTCCAAATAAGTATGGTAATAATGTGATAAGGAATTGAAGTGTGTATGATTGTGGGGAGTAAGCAAATAGTAATAATTAAAAAAATGTTGGTTAACTATCATTTGATCTTTAATAAATATACGTGCCAATATGATATGGGTAAAATGAGACGTATTTTCGATATAAAAATTCTTTATTCAACTTAGATTGTTGTCATAACAATCAACATTTTGTATTAAAAAAATTACCTTATAATGAAAAAAAAAATTTCTACTTATTGTGCGTAGAAAGTGAAATTAATATATTTGATAAAATTTAAGCTTGAATTAACCATATTGAATTGAGTGAATCTTTTTATTATGCTCGCCTGATACTTTTTCAAAATAGTCATGGAAAAAATCGATGTAGTTATGGAGTATGGGTGATTTCAGTGGAGCAAAAACTTTCATTCATGTCATTTACGAGTTCTGTATAAATTTCCCATTTGTGAACACCTAAAAAGTTGTTAATGACAAACTTGCCCTATTCCCTTTTTCTAGTCTGGAATAAATTTTCCATCAGCTTTCGAATATTTGGATCAATAAAAGTAAAACGAATTCGTGAATTAAATTTAGTTATAAAATTAAATGAAAATATAGTATTTATAGAATACATCTAGAATATGTAAATTTGTTCATCTTGAATATGTTTCATTGGCTTTTTTTTCCCGTAGATTGAATGTGGAAAGTGACGATCAAAAGTCTTAGACAGTTTATATTATGACTTAAATATTCAGTCCTGTTCCTGATGATGTTTTTTATAACTAACATTTTGTATTTGCTTGATCTAGAAGATGGAAAAAATCTTCTTACAATGAAATACTCCCTAAGATCATAACTAACTTTATTAAAACCTATCTTGGCCTTGTTGTCAACTACTTTCGAATTCTGACAAAATTGACAAAACTTTATACGAAGTACATTAAATCTGTTTCCAAGTTTTATACGAATCCAAATCAGTTTTACTATCGCTTTTTGTATCTTTCATCAGTAGAAATATTGCTGTAGCAGTATCTGAATATGTTGCTTCATAAACTTCATATTATTTCATATTCACTACTCAAATAAAGAAATCCAAAGAATGGCAATACGAATCAAAATTCGGTTAAATAGTTTATTGCTTCTGAAACACTTTACAACTTAATTCAAAGTATATAAGGTTCTCTCATTTGAACTGATTAGGATATCTTTTTTTTTTAATTGTAATTAAATAGAAGGTTCTCTCATTTGAACTGATTAGGATATCTTTTTCCTTTGTTAAAGCTTTCTTAAGCAGGTTTTACATCTAATTCAGCTATGTCCTCGTAATTTACATGTTTGTGCATTAAATATCTCCTTATTGCTTCTGAATTCCATAATATCTATTCTGTTGATATCTGCAGAAATATTTTTATATTACTCCAAACATCTTGTTTTAGATGACTTTTTGATGCTTAAAATTAAGCGCATACAATATTTTTTTGTGTTCTAAATATAAATCTTTTCAAAGCCTTGGAATATTACCCAAAATTTAAATATAATTTTTATTTAATATTTGCGATTATGGACACCATGGCATGGAGGATGTCAAGGTCATTTTACAATATGAAAGAAACAGGAGGTGGAAAAAAAGGGATGAAAAGTTTGAAAAGTCATTAACAAACATATCCGGGAGTAGAATGACCTCAAAAATGTCATTAATATAAATGTAATTAAACAACAATTACGCTAAGTAAGTTCAGTACAAAAACCAGTATCTGAGATAATTTGATATCTATCTCTTAGAAAAAAAACTGCGTTCTTGCTAAAATTTTATTAGAAGATTCCAATATTGCAGAATAACATGAGTTAAGGAGGATTAAATGTGTATTACATGCCCAATAACTAAGTTGTACGAAAGGATTGTCTGAGATCTTCTTTCTAACAGATTGAAATGCAAAGATTTTATTTAAATTCGCTCCTAGCGCTCATTGTTCTCAAATATACATAACCACATTAAAACTGGAGTCATCAGCGGCTGAAGAAGATCCATGATTGGCAACAAGAATTTATATGGAAAGACATGAAGAAAAATAAGCATACATATAAGTGAGTGTAGAACACTTCTACAACGCACCAGCTATATTTAGTGCAGCAGATCATTTAGATAATTCGCATGGTACCAGGTCTAGCATGAACTATACAAGGAATACCGGTAATATTTCATTATGGTCTTCAAATCATTTACGAACACAACAAATCGTACCTGTTTATGCATTATTCTGACGAGTGGAATTAGTATATGGTCAAGAATATCGATATATTTCTTATAATCATGCAAGGAATTGGAATATACCAAAATCAAGTGGTAAAGGAGTTATTTATATTAGGCACTCCTCAGGACACATTAGCTTCTGCTTGAACATCGCATTAAGGATATCTTAACGCTCCATTAACGAGTTATGAATTTAAAAAAAACTTAAGAACTCCTCAACAAATGGCTATGAACACGACGATTATTATCTTTCGCTGGGGAAATTGTGCTCGCCCCAATAATTTTAGATTTAAAATAAGTGGGGTGGCCTATACTCAACGTTTTCGCATTTTTCAACTTAAAAATTTTATTTCCATTATTTTACATAAACTTCGTTTAATTTTTGAGATAATTTACCAAAATTAATATCCTTTAACTATCTCTTGATCTTCCTAATAAAAAAGAACTGGTGTGATATGCAAATGTTATCTCTTCAAGTGTTAATTTCCTTTATATTAATATTAAAATCGCTGCATTTATGTCAATATGAATATAATATTGTAATGTTATAATGTTTCCATTCGGATCACTTAGAAATCAAACGAACTCGTTGCTAATCCGTATTTATAAATACCAACCAATTTAGGCGGCTTATATTTAAACACTAAATTACGCTCATTTCTCACATATGAAATATGCGTAATTTTCGCCGCGAATATGTGTATCAATTTGCAGTCTAGTTAATTAATAACTTCTCTAATGAGATAACCGCAAGGAATCATTAACGCCAAAACCGCATTAAGGTTGTTTAGCAATTAAAACTTACAAGTAATTATATAAACTTATGTAACTAAATAGAGTTTCTTCCGAAAAAGGATTTTTTTAAAGAATATTTCGTTTGTGGTCCGATTCTTATTCAGACGTTTGAATATTTGCTTACACGACAGCTTTCTCGTTTCGCGATTAATTCTCCTGGTGATCAGTAATCGTCGTCTTCTTCTCTCTGGATAGCACTTTGCATCGAAAACGCATTAAGAGGGACACAACTTCGACGTGTTTGCTGATGGTCGCCCAATTGGTCTTATCTTCGATTAGTAAAAGAAGACATCCCTCTCTCTCTCACACTTTCTTATAACGAATGAAAAATTTGTATGGGATATTTTTTATTAATTACTAGATTAGATTATTTTAATAGCTGTTAAAAAAAATACTCCATAAAAACTTGTTATATAAGCATATTTAATTTTATTTTATTTTTTAGATACGACAAGAAAAACCTTACTACATAGCAGATCCAGAAGTAGATTCATTAGTAAGTAAACTTTTTTTATTTCAATGTTTTAATATAATCTTTAAAATAATTTTAAAAAAATATTCAATTTCCTCCTCTTCTTTTTCAAAACACTTTAAATCACCATAAAGAGTTAAAATTTAATTACCATTCCCGTTTTCGTCCCCCCGATTTCATATCAGCACCCTCCTCACCCCTTTTATTTTATGGGGGGTGGGTTGGGTACGGCTGATTGAAGTTGCGGGTGTAATGCGCACCTAATGGACCCCCCGGGAGCATAAATCAAACGGCCGGATATCGTGGAGCATCGATCGGGGGGACTCGACGAATCCGGGGGGGGTTTATTGAGGATGGGGCGGTGAAGGGGGGCGGGTCGCACGGTAGCGTCCCGTCTTCTCTTCCCCGTGATGGTAAATTAAAAGGTGGCCCGCGCACAGGCCATCGTCCCTCGGCATCTTCTTCTTCTTCTTTTCCTCTTCAAGATATTAATCTCGCTGCCTGTATAATTAAAATTGTTAATGGCGTTTGTGGTGAACGTATTTAGAGGCTCTTGGACGAGGTGGTATTAGCATATGATAATGTTAACGTTCTCTTCGGTTCAAGAGGAAAAGACGAGAAGAAGAATGAGGATAAGGATGAGAATGACTTTCGGCTACCTGATGAGCATGATTGAAAAAAATTTTTGTTTTCTTTGAAATTCATAAATTCTTTCAAGACGTTATCTTTTAAAGCAGGAAATAAAGGATTATAAAAACGGTTTTTAAAAAAAATACTTTTTGTGACCTGTTGGTTTTTAAGAAAACAAGATTTTGAGTTTCGTTGAAAACTTTGAAATCGCCTCCGGTGTTTAATAAATCCCATTATTCGCGGGGGGCGGCGGCTCGGCGTAATGAATTTTATTTCGGGGCCGAGGCCGACTGGGCGTCGACTTCATTTAAAATTTTATTAAAAATCGCGCGAAACCCGGCCGACTCTGAGGCACCGGCTTTTTGAGGTCGGGTTTCAATTTCATAGCGCGCCAGGTGCCGCCACCGTCGCTCCACGTTTTATTTCTACACGTTTTTACATTTTTTTCATTAGGTAATTTATTTTGCTTTTGCTAGTATGCAAATTTCTCGATTACAAAATATATATAACAAAAATGGTAATCAAATTAAGTCAAAAACTTGACACAAATATAATATACAGGGTGTATCAAGTATGAGTAGAAAAAATTTGAAGGGTTATAGGTCCCTTTTTGCGAATAAAAATTTTTTATAATACAATGTCCCATTCTTTGCCATTCTTAAGATTTGATAGGATAAAGTTAAGGGTTTAAAAGTTTGAGTACTGCTGTATAAAGAATTATACTTAGCAGGCTTTGCTTATGTATATAGCTTTAATTTGACACATAAAAGACATTTTTTTAGAAGTTGTTTACTTTATACGAATAAATTTATCACTTCTGTTTTATCACTCTTTAATGTGAAAATTTACAAAAATTTTCGTTTTAATAATTAAACTTGCTTATTTTATTAAAAACAACAAAATTACAAAATTGGAAACAAATTGCAAAGCAAAGCCTGCTTAGTATAATTCATCAACCAGTAGTACTCAAACTTGTGAACCCTTCACTTTATCGTATCATATCTTAAGAACGACAAAAACCTGATACACCTGTATATTTTTAATTTTCTCATTTTTCTTCAAGTTGTGTTAACTTATTCCTATTACTTTTCAAAAATGTTTTTGATTGATTTGAGATATACTAGAAATAATTTTTTAATTTTTTGAACCTTATTTATTATTTCTCCTTATACATTGACTTTTATGTATTATAACTTGTAGTTTTGTTTATCCAAACGATCGATTTCGGAAGGATAGTAGCTGCAACCCTGGGTTCGACGGGGATGTTTGCGTTTGGAACCCTGTCGGGTTCCGATAAAGGGCGTTCAAAAATCGCGGTATTCCAGGGCACGTCTGTTTGCTAAGAGACCTCGACGGAGGGGGCTCTCGTGGCCTCGCATTTAGTAACTGATACCCGGAGTACACCGCGATAACTTTGTGTACTTAAACTGCGCCCCTCAAAACCTTAAGACGCCGCCCCCATTTTTCTTCATTTAAACTCCAAGTGTAGCTTTAAATTGTAATTTTGATTGTTTTTCTTCTTTTTAAGCACTCACCACATTCTTTTCTGTTTCTGTTTCAGATGGTCCAGGCGATCCAGGTGCTGCGGTTTCATCTCCTCGAGCTTGAAAAGGTAAGTCGTCTTTTAGAGGACGGTGGTGGAGCCCCCCTTTGCGCCCGTCCGTCCGTCTTCATTTTGCATACCGACCATTTAAATTGCTAAATCGGCCGCCGTATCTGGCGATCTTCGGCCTTCGGCGTTCGCTCTCTCTCCGGACATTGTAATCGGGCCGACGGAGAATGCCCGTTCCTAACCGGTTATCGCGGTTGGGCACCAGCCTCTGGTGGTACACAACCGCGACCGAAGCCACATCTGTTTCACTAAAAAAAGGGGGCCCTGCCATAGGCGGACTGGTTATCTAATCTATACGACGTTTGCTTGCTTTTTACGCGAGAAGGTGTGGTATAGATACTGGATTATTTAACTTTTATTAGAGTGTACATTTATCTATTATGGAGGGTTGATGATTAAAACAGATTTCTGTTTTTGCATAATTTATATAAAAAATTACTCTCAAGGTTAAAATAGTGATCGTAAAGCATTAAAGCTTGTGTTCAATATACAATTTTCAAGTGGTTCCTTTCAGGCATCGCTGTAAAAAAAAAATAAAAATAACAAGTTATCGTTTTTTTACTGAGTATAGGTCAGTTCTAATTTCGTAAGTAGCCATCGAAACACTCAACGAAATAGCCTACGACCTACTAATGGTCTACGTAGAAACGCTTTTTACTAGAATAGATAAAAAGGAAATTAGCCGGAGCTTTTCTATAATTAAAATTCGGGTTCCCGGCGACAGAATGATAAATGGTGCACAGTCGGGGTTGAATCTATTGTCTTCCCGAAGGGCGCAATTTACAAAAACGTAGTAGTGCGTGTGTGCATTGGAGGAATTTGGAATTTTCGGATGGTCTTTTTCTCGTCGTCCGTTGGCCGCGCAGCTCCTTATGCTAATGAGAGGCCGTCGCCGTTTCTCGTATAATATGTAAATTATTCCGAAAGTTCCGAGGGCCATTGTTGGGCCTCTGATCGATATAAAAAAGGAGCGAGCCCCGCCTCGGACTTTTTGGTTTTCTTTCCGCGCTCCATGTCCCTTTTTGCTCACTTCTTCTTCTTCGGCCGTGAGATCTTCTCCGCTCATCTCCAATGCCGATTTACTTTCGTTCTCAGATCACAACAACTCATGAAACAGCTGGAAGATCAATTGTTCCAGATTTATACTTTAAATTGAAACAATATGTTTTAAACTTTATATTAAGTTAGTTCTTAAACATTTTTAAAAACACTTCTCAAAAGTGTTTTTTTTTATTAATTTGTTATAAAATCCAATTTAATCCTGATAACTTTCGAGGGAAAGTACCGATAAAAATACGTAAAGTTATCTTTTCAAATACAACGATTATAAAGTATTAATCAAGATTACTAAACGTTTTTAAAGGAATTTAGTTTCTTTAAACTTTTATTTGTTTGTTTCAGGTTCATGAACTTTGTGACAATTTCTGCCACCGATACATCAGCTGTCTAAAAGGAAAAATGCCCATAGACTTAGTGATAGACGAAAGGGATAGCGGAAAACCGCCCGAACTGACGGGGTCCACGAACGGCGACGGCGGCGCCAGAAGCAACGCGGACTCGGCGTCGCACACGGACGGCGCCAGCACGCCCGATGTTGTAAGTGTCTGTTTCCTCAGTTTTCAAAACGTAGTTAAGAATATTTGCGCCCCCAGGGTGTTGTAGATAGATTTTTCCGTTTATTTTTATTCAAATCGCACGAGAGAGAAGACTAAATGAAAAAGTAAAAGAAAACATTTCCTTTTGAAAGGAGGAAGATGAAAAAGTGTGACACAAATATATATAGAAAGAAGAACAAGAAAAGTCGCCCCCGAAAAGCAAGCAAATAGTTTGGTGCCGGTCTCTGGCGACGGTGCATAATCGCTTGAACCCTGTCGTATTACCTCCTGCAGCTATGAATAATAGGCTCACCGTCTGGTACGGATTTCATGCACGCCATTTTAACTGGCAACGTCAAAATACTGCCGGGATATCGATTTAGTGTTCCTCCTGCCACCTCCAACCTGGAATCTAACCGTCCGTTGCTATTGGGCGGATGTAAAACCATTTTCAAATAAATTAAAAAATCAAAATTGTTATAAATTGTCTAAATAATAGATTCTAATAGATTTTTCTTAAATAATTTAGATTTTGTTCTAAATTCTGCAAAATTTTATGCATAATTCTATTAATAGTATCTAAATTCCATAGGTGTTTAGTGATTGTCCTAGATTTGGACAAGTTTGATGGCATCTATTGTATCCCTGAGGTATTTAGATGGTCCAAAAATTTTTTCCTTCTTTATTTTGTTACATATATGTTTTTTCTTATTACAAAATTTTGTTTTCAAGTGCATCAACTTAGTTATGCCCCACATATAATGTCTGAACCCATCTTAATCCAACCCAACACTTCATTAAAACGGGATTAGAAAGTCTGCAAGCATACCAACACAACCCGACCTTGGTTCTCATAGACTTGGTGGTGATGAGTCTAAAACATTTCTCCCTCTGCTTTAGAAACTTCCAATACATCACTTTCTACATTCCACGACCACCATCCCTATACAAGTTATTTATCTGGGTCTTCTGACATATTTTATCGTGCATTTATTATTACCTGATCATATAGACAAGATTATCTCTCCTTCCATCTCAACAGTAACTAAAACAATATAAAGTTTACATGCTCTAATTAGAACCCAAAATGATACTGCTGTTCCTGACAAAAACTTTTTTTTGAAGCAGCTTACTCTCCAAGTTTATTATTTGGGTTCGTCCTCAACCTCGCTTCGTTTTCTCATCAAGAAAATCATATCACGAGATTAATTATTAATTTATTACTTTCCAATATCATACTTCATTAATTTCGTCATTATCTTGTTTATGTTGCAATAATTGATGGAAAAAAACATTCCATAAAAAGGACTCAGAATTGATACTTGCCGAACTTTTAATAGATATTTTCAGATATTTGGGAAAGTATTGTTCATCATACGTAGATCGTTGTTCAGAAAGACTAGTTTTGTAATAGCCACGATTACATGAAATTTCGGAGTTTTTGGCAATTTGTTTTTGTTGTTTTTGCATTAACAGAAAATGCGTCTTAAATTTTGTTGTGTATTTGCAGTTAAGATGCCACAAATTTGGTTAATTTTTGTTGTGCCACTCTAGAGCTTCTTCCTTTATATTTAAATGAACCTTGACAATATCTTCATATCGCCTATAATAGAAAAGATATCATTTATTTTTGCTATAATCATAGTAGATGACTTGAAAAGATCAGATTTACACTTTTTTTGGTTACTAATATAAAAACTATGCTATTTATGCCAAATTTTTGTAGAATTATTGATAATCAAAAGAATATAAAAAGCTTTAACCAAGTATCTTATAGATCTTATTGATCTATATGGATAAATTGAATGATCTTGATTAATTCTGATAATCTAAAAACATTTTTGTTCTTAAATTTAGTAAAATTGTCTTGTAGATATTTATAAAATTAATAGTTAAAATAGAACAAAAGGTGTTTCCATCCAATTTGACAAGACGAGTTCACATGGCAGCCAAGTTTATTACTTTTTGTACACCGTCCCGTCCCCAATTAACGTGAATTTCATTCCAATCCGCTCGTCGTCTTTCTTGGCAACGTCCAAGAGAGAACCATTTGGCAACCTCAAAATTCAAAACGATTCCTGTTAACTTTTGTATAACATTTTAAAGTCAACCAAAAGAACATTATCAATTTTATCAGTTTATTCTTCGTTTTATTTTTTTTTTGTTCATATTATTCAAAGAACCCAAGAAGATCAAGATGAGACATTACAGAACGTAAAGTGTGACGAGGCCGCGGCAGCTCTCGGGTTTTGAACATTGCCCTTGTCTACTATAAATATACAAAGTGTAATTATACCGTCTCGAGCAGACGACGACGAAGAAGACAAGAAGAAGAGGAGAGAAACGACGGCGTCGTCGTCGTCGTCGTTGCTGTTTAGGTATGCGGAGAAGTTGGCCGTTGGCTGCGACGAGAGCGCGCGGTTTCGAATATTTTCTGATTTTGAGTGGGTTCCAACAACGACGACGAATGCATTACGCGCCGACCGCCGATGATGGCCGCCGCATACCGACGGACGCCGTTATTTTTACCGTCACGACGCTTGATTTCGACGGCGACGTCGAATTTCGAACGAAACGCATCTCAACATTCTCATTCGCGTACGAGCATACGCGAACGCAACATAATTTACGCCGTAATAAAACCGGGACAGATTAATTTACGAGTTCTCTTCGGTCGCGTCTATTTACAATGTGACAATCACTATAAAACCGCACTGATTCTGTTTAATAATAATTAAGAGTAATTAAAATGAACAAACTTTTTTTTATTTTTATTTTCGATTTATTCACACTAACACCATTTATGACTGCGTTGCGTGCGTTTTAATTGAAACTAATTTATGATACGAACAAATTTATTCATAACATCTTTGTTTATCATTTCTTAAAAAATATGTGCAGTGAATTTCATTTAAAATGCAATATACAAAAATATATTTCCGTAGAAACCAGAGGTACACCCTGGTTGGTCACTTTGTCCTATATAAAATGCAACATGCTGAATGTTTTTAGTTCTAGATCTAATTTTAGTTCTGGTGACAGTGATAGGTTGCGCTAGTTAACATAAGATATCACTATGTTGTACATTTTTATTGAACTAAAACTAGAACTAATACTAGACCTTTAACTAGAAAGTAGTGTTAGTTCTAGTTTTACACTATCACTAGAACTAACACAAGACTTAGAACTAGAATAATTCGGGTATAGCCGTTTTGAGAGACGTGCCGCTAAACACGAGTGATTGTAGTTCTAAGTCTTGTTTTAGTTCTAGTGAGTGTTAGTGCAAAACTAGAACTAACAGAAGTCTTAGAACTAGAATCATTCGGGTTTAGCCGTCTTGAGAGACGTGCGGCTAAACCCGAATGATTCTAGTTCAAAGTCTTGTGTTAGTTCTAGTGATAGTGCTAGTGTAAAACTAGAACTAACACAAGATCGAGAATTAGAATCATTCGGGTTTAGCCGTCTTGAGAGACGTGCGGCTAAACCCGAATGATTCTACTTCTAAGTCTTGTTTTAGTTCTAGTGATAGTGCTAGAGCAAAACTAGAACTAACAGAAGACTTAGAACTAGAATCATGCGGGTTTAGCCGTCTTGAGAGACGTGCGGCTAAACCCAAATGATTCTAGTTCTAAGTCTTGTGTTAGTTCAGTGATAGTGCTAGTGTAAAACTAGAACTAGAAACATTCGGGTTTAGCCGTAACGGTTAAAAAAATCTTATTAAATTTAAAATTCACTCAACCCAATATTATATTTAAATTAAAAATAGTTTTTAAAAAACTTATTAAGAAATCTCATGCATATGAAATGTTGGTGCGGTGTCGGTAATGAAGCTATTCGAAGTGTGTGTGTGTGTTGCCACCGGTTTCTTGAGGCAGATGCCTCTACACCGATCGTTCTCTTCTTCGATGATGATGATGATGAGGAATTACGTTCGTCCTTGACCATAATTGACCATAGTAAAAGCGTCCAACTATTTCTTTTTCTAACAAGAAGTCCTCGTTGTCATCGCTGTCGACGATGCTGGGTCAAAAGCTCATTTTTTTTTAACCCCATCTTTAACTTCTATTTTAGTACCCATTTTAACTCCTTGGTGTTGACGATTTCACCAAGAAACTGTTACCAATTAATCGGCGCCGGTTAATTTGTTCTTAATTAAATTAATTTTTTAATTACTTGCCGTGAATTTCGATCAATTAAGATCGTCCGCGATAGATAACGCGAGTGAGATGGTGATAATTTTACGAGAAAGATGGTTTATAATTTTTTTTTGTTTTTATCACGGCAATTATGTCATGTCGAAATTTATATTTCAAAATAATAAATTATTTACGATCGAAACGCAGCCTCGGTCGGCAAATTGTTATTGCCCCGTTTTATCTCGCCGTTGAACTCTTGCCGCTCTTTATCTTTTTATTCTTATTTTATTTTTTTTTAATTTTATTTCGTTTTTATTTCTTATTACTTTTTCACTTCACCTCACGCGAAATAAATATTCTTAAACGCGTTTCCCGCAAAAGTTTAACGGAGAGAAAGAACTTGATGGTTTTTAAGGGGAAAAGGAACCCACGGATGAGGGGTTGAAGAAAGAGATGAGAAGCGTTCGTGGATAACGAGTAAGGGGCGACGCTGCGGTGTGACTTAGGGTGAAATTCTATATCCGGCACCATTCGCATGAGCGATGCGTCAGCTCAAATTGACACCAATTACCAGTAAAACTCCAACGGGAACGGCAAGCGAACGCGCCTTTCTTTTTCTCTCCCCCAATACAACGCCACTAGAAAGAGAACCTAACGTTGCGTTCTGACAAACAGACGGGAGCACAGTGAGCTAATACTCACGATGTGCTTTCGAGAACGGAATTTTGATGCAACCCAAATCCCCGACTATGAGGGGGGTTCAAAAAGGTTTCAATAATCGTAATAATTAATACTTTTTATATTCTACCATATATAATTTTAAGTGGTAGGTAGTGCTAGTTAGCATAAGATATCACTATGTTGC